GTTGAAGGAATTTGAGTTTAAGGGATGGGTTTTAATTTTTTCAGCCATTTTATGTCCTACACCTGTGAAGTGTTCACATAATAGGTTAGCCATTAGTTTGTTGTCTGTAATCGTTTTATTTTCTATGTTTATTGATTTTATGTTTTCTTTTTTTGTTTTATTACCACACAGGTCTTTTACGCATTGCCATAAGCCTTTGGACGAGTTTTTATTATCAAGTATTTTGTTATTATAGTAATCTGACTTAGCAAGCCGTAACATATTATGGAGGCGATTTCTGTATTGTTTAAATTCTCGTTTATTCTCTTCGGTAGGGTTTTTCAGCATTTTTTTGTAAATTTAATTTTTTTCGTTGATTGAATTAATTAACCCATGAGTAATCTATTCTGTACGTTTTCTTTGGCTGGATTTGAAATGAATTGTTTTAGTGGATTTTTTAATATATGATTTTATTTTATCTATGAACATTTCTGCACATACGTTAATGTCAGGTGTATTATATATATTCAACCATGTTTTGTTTTTGATTAGAGATATAAGTAATTTTTTATCAGTAAATATCTTTTTATTTTCTATAATATCTTTTTGTTTTACTTTAGCAACCATAATATCTAATGCGATTGAAAAGTGATCTGTAATACTTGTTTTGATAATAAACGGATGTATTGTGTATTTGATATTTTTTAATGATTTTATAAATATGTGGTCTATGCAACTTTTTTGATCGTTTTTTATTCTGGTGTAGTCATTAATTGCCCTTATATAGTTATACTCACTCAATGTATTAAGATATTCAATATTATCATTGTTCTATATTAATATCACCTGTTATCACATGGAAGTCATATGATTTGTTTATCGTTTTAAAATATTCGGCAAGATCTGACACAAAAATTGGAATGGACATATTTGCCGAAGCTTACTGTAAAGCTGCTACAGTCAGCAATGCTGTGAAAGGGTTTAAAGCATGCGGTATCGAACCATTTAATCTGATAATTTTTAATGACAGCAATTTCGCCGCAGCAATAATGACACCAAGAAATAAGAATGCTATAAACTTTCCTTTAAGCATTGACTCGCAGTCATATTCTGATGATGGCATCGCATTATCTGTCCTTGCAAAAAAATCATACTGAACCAGACACCAGAACAAAACAAGACCAATTTAATGAGTGCTAAGAATTCAGTTTCCAATAAACTAGAGTCAAGTAAGTGAAATTTATTTGCAGAAAACCAAAGAGCTTTGAAAGAAATTAGGCCAATACTAATATCAGAAAGGAAGTCCACAACACAAAAAAAATGTCTGTCTCTGTTATTAGCAGTACGGCTGTAAAGGAAGCTTTGGAAATAAAACAGAATGAACTAGCAAAAAAAGAGCTGAAAAGAAAACTAAGATTGGAGAAAAAGGATATGAGACAGGAAGAAAATAATTTAAAGAAAAAGAAAGTGGACAAAAGTCAAAAACTTTTAGATCAATCAACACCCACACTACGATAAATATTTATACTTTAAAAAGTATCATACAAGTCCAGGATTTGTTTCATTTGGACCTATTAGAAAAGAGTTTAAAATTGAAAAATTGAAACATAGGCGCTCTATAATCAATCTTGTCTTTTTACATAAATTAATAAATAGATATTTGGACAGTCAATATTTATTGAGTCAAATAAAAATTAATGTTCTAATAGCAGGTATTCGTCCCCGTCAATTAACTTTTCGTGCGGATAATCATGGTCCAGTAGAAAAAATTTGTCTTTTGTTTAATGTACACTCCGAAGGCATTTGTTGCGGTATTTTTAATGTAGCTATAAGCACATATAGAAAGGAACTGAACAAAATTGTTGGGCTCGATTAAAGAGATATAACCTTGTAGGATTTCCGTGGCCTTGGTGTGGGGTTTTGCAGACGCTCTGATTATTCCTGAATATTTCTGATTATTTCAGTAGTTTTGTTAAAATTTCATAGTAGCGAGCATGGGCGAAGTTATGTCATCAGATCTGGGGGGCTAAAGCCCTGGACCTAGTCATCTAATATAATATGTACCTAATAGTTCTAGTAGTAAGAGGTATATTGAAGTTAGGTAAAAAAATTCTGGCTAATCTATGAGTATGAATAAATATATTATGTATAATATATATTTATACCTATCAGGTGAAAAAACTGAAAAATATCCTTCATTTTTGCAGTCATGAAATAGTAGTTTGTGCAATAAGAGTGAATATGGATAATCCACTTGAGTTGTACACTATATTTTTTCTATGACTCACTAACGAAAGTCTGTAAATGTAAAAAATTATTTTAAGTTAAGACAAAATAACTAATTTTAAAATAATTTATGAATTTTATTAATTTATAAAATAAAATAAACATAAAAAAATAACCCCTAGCTCAGATTTAAACCCGGGCTATTTGCGTGGAAGGCAGATGCGCTGTCCTCAGCTCCACCGCCACTTTTAGGTTTTTCCCTCCTCATTTAACTACCTGGCTTGTCAGGTCCGACCGAAACAGGGATTTATAACCAAAACAGAAACTGAATTTTGGCTCCTTTCTTAGTTTCGGCCGAAACAGAAACAGGAACTTTCTTTTAAGACAATTTCTTATTGAAATTTGCAATATCTTATTGTAATCCTTGTTTTAGACTAATTACCTCATATTATAAATTTTAGCTACATTTACCTATTACCCATTTATTTATGTAATCAAAAGAAAGAAGCCATAAATAAATTTATTGACATGGTTTTTTTATTACTTTTTGAAATAAAAAAAAGCAAGTGAATTACAAAGTAGTAATCATTCCTGCATCTGTAGTAGATTTTTTTAACAAAAAAAAAAATATTATAAAGCGAATTATATATAGGTACCTAATGTATATTTAAAAAAAAAAAAACAAATGAATTCAGCTGATTAAATATGTTTGTTACTTATAATTAAATTAATATTAAGTATACAGCCTAACGTTGTAGGCTAGAAATAATATTTTCCCACGTTTCTGCTTAAAAAATTGCTCCTTTGATCCGAATAAATTAGGCCAGGAGCACTGAAGACTGTTCACTTCGAACACAGCAGAGAAGTTTGTGTGCACTGTGCAGAAATGGCACCCGACACAGTCGCACCAAGTATGATGCGAAACTTTCGAAAATAGTTTCGCTTTCGGTTGCCGTTTCGGCCAATTTTCCGCCGAAACCGAAACTGTAGTCGAAACTCTTATTTTAGGCCGAAGTTGGCCGAAACCGTAATCGAACCTTCGATCAGACTCTACTTATGAGCCTGGCAGGCCTTCGTAATTATAAATAACAGCCAGACGTGTATTTTCACTTAGAATACCACTAGTGCCTAAATTATTTTCGGAAATTTTTTCGAACTTTCTTAAATTATTCGTGAGTGAGCAAAAATTTATTGGTAATAACTTATTTATTGCGTTGCGTCATATTATATGTATGAAAGAACTTCTCAAATGTCAAAAAAATCTCAGAATAATTTCTGTCAGGGTACCCACCAAGAGAAAAATGTCCTCTGGTTGTCATGGAAGCGTTTTAAAATAACTGCATTTGATCGGCTATAAAATAAAGGTGTAAAATTATAATATTATAATCTATCTTGTGACAAATTTTAAAACTTTGGAAAATAAAAGCAAAAATATTATATTTTTCCGATTTTGAAGATGTTGCCAGACTCATTTGCCAATTTCGTAAATCATCCAGACTTATTATAATTTACAGTTTATGATTGTATTAATTTATATGAAAAATTTCAAGCCTGGAAAAATATCAGTCAATTTTTTTATTCCGAAAATTTTCAGCCAGACTCACTTTCAGCTATCTGAAATAAACCAGACTGCTATTTTTATAACTTTATGTTCTAGTTTAGTAAATGTAAAATATTTATGACTGGGAAAACAAGTGCCAAGCTCAAAAATTTAGTTTTTTGTCACTAAGAACAGATGATTTTTGTTTTTTAATTTCTGTTCTGAAATGCGTGGGTTAGTGTGCGATAAATGTTCGAAGTATTTTTGGGGGGGCTAATTTGGTTTTTGGGGGGGCTTAGCTCCCCCAAGCCCCCCCTTAACTTCGCCCATGGTAGCGAGGTTTGTTTATTATAAATTCACTTATATATTTAATTAGATATTATGTATTTTTGTTGATTTCTATTTTCGCTGTATTTATAGGAACATGTAATTAGGCTCATGCCTGTTTGTTTCTGGAATAAATAAATAAATAAATAAATAAATAAATAAATAAGGCTTGCCCAAATGGTCTTAATTCTATTAATAAAAAGCCACTTAATGAAAGTCACTACATTTGTCCAGGTTGTAAGGAATTATACACAGATCCTCCAATTGAAAATTGGATCCAATGTTCTTCTTGTTTGTCGTGGTGGCACTAGGAGTATTCTTCTTTTGAAGATGGTGAATTCTATTGCGATTTTTGCATGTTAGTCATCTTACCCCAACGCGTTCGTCATCTTACCCGACGTATGAGGTAAGATGACTAAAATGTCAGTTTTTAGTTTATATTTTTTTTTTTAGAAAAAGTGGTTTATTTTTTGTGATATTTGGTACCTAAATAATGTAGGAAATATATTTGTAGGTTCAAGTTTTCATTTTCGTTTCTTGAAATAAATATTTTCGTTACTAACTTAAGAGTTTTTCTTAACATCGCCATCTTACCCCACTCTCCCCTATTAGTATCCATGAAGTTTGAAAATTAATAAGCTACAAGATTTAGTCTAGTTTTTTTATAATTAAAAGCAAAAAAATCTTATTTTTAAAAAATTTTAGGACGTCATTGAGTGAAATTTAGTTTAAAATTTAATTTTGAAATATATACAAGGAAGCAAATATTTCAGATAAAAGAGTCAGCGATTTAACAAGATTCATCCAGATTACCGAAAGTCCTTAAAATTAATTGGATCGCCAATAATCGTAGCCAAAAAGCAGAACACTACAGTTAACACGTTGTTGCGTTACTTAAATTTGCCAATATATTATAAGATTAGGTTACCTAAGATTCCGAGCCGGAAATTTATGGTCACCACTATCACGTTTCCATATGCTGCTAGGACGCTGCCATCATAAGGATTGCCGGAGTTCCATTCGAAGGATTCGCCACTTATGAAAACCATTACGGGATATTTTCTCGTAGTTAGTTTATTGTCTGAAAAATAAAATATACTGATTGTACTTTAAGCCTTTCATAATGGTGGTGTAAATCTCAATATAAACTACCAGTCATATAAGAGGATATAAAGAAAATGCTTTTAGCTTTTCAACTGTGTTATTTTTATTAATGACCACAACATATATGTATTTTTGAAGATAATTCTTTTTTAGTTCATTGCAGCTTAACAATTTTATTTGAAAAAGAAGGTGGGTGGTTTAATAACTTAATTCGTATACTCAAGAATAATACTGGAGAAATTAACGCTACGTGATACTTTGCTCGCGCTTCAGCGAGTACTTGCACAGAGGCGTATTTAGATTTACTTTTAAAGATATTTGTTATTTGTTGTTTCTAACAATTACTTAGGGTACTAAAATGACTTTATTTATTTAAAAAGATCTCAATAAAATTTCTAACGAGTTTGGTATATATTCTTAAAATACTGTTAATAATTAAAATACATATTTATCGATATTATAGAATTTATAAAAGAAGTTTAATAGAAGTAAAGGTTAACTACAAAAAAAATTGAGTTACTTATATGCGTTGTAATTAAAACAAACCATCCATCCAAGTAGTCCAGTAACTAAAGTGTCAAACCTGTAGAAAATTTGCTGACGAGTTCCCACATACCGCAACTTGTAGGTCATCGCAGGAGTTTTTAAACGTGAAAATCCTTAGAGCGCTCTTGGTACCGGAAGGGGCTGAAAATGGACCCCTAAAACCTGGGAAATGGGTTTCCCGCTAATATCTGACTGAATATGCCAATTAGAGAAGTTTTGCTTACAATTAGACAAAAAATGAAGATCAGATCATTATCTACAAAAATGGCCCCTATCATTTTCTTCGAAAATTCAATAGTTTTCGAGATAATAGCACTCAAAAGTCCCCTCATTTCAGCTGCTGCTCTACCTGCAGGAATTCCGCTTTCTATAAATTAACCCATAGCTACAATTCCATTTGACCTAAAGTTAGTTCGTATTTGCCAAAAATATTTATAAAAGCGGTCAAAGTTTTTTTCAGCAATATTTAGAGACTGTTTCATTATTGTATTCATATTTTCTTTAAAAATAGTCATTTAATTCTAATTTTGCCTTTATAATGGGACCACTCAAGGGGTCTTGAATGATCTCAGAAATTTTTTTGTACTACTTTTCTTGCGATTTAATACAAAATTGATTTGTTTATTTACATGTTTTAGCCGATTTCGAAGTTCCATAGAATCTTCGGAACAAGTGAGAATTACAATCTTATGATCCGTTATATTGATTTCCAATGCACATCATTTTAAAGCTTAGATGGTCTACTTTTCGAATATATTTTTTTTATTTTTAATAGAGTAATAATTTTCAAGAAATGAGGAAAATTGATCACACGAGTGAAAACCGGCCTTTTTTTTGTTTAACCATTTCTTGTTTCCCGCTCTTTATTTTTTGAGGATTAATAACTAGATCAAAGTAAAGCTTGTACTCTGACCTTTCCAATGATATAAGTCAATCCTCATACCCGTTCTTGGTTCTAAAAAGGTTGTTACAATTATATACTTCATTTTTACGCTCCTCCTCTGAGATCCATGATATTGTATATAACCTAACCTCGTGTACCCACGTGGCAGTTGTCTGCATGTGTTTGTATACAATTTCTGTTTTGGAGTAGTCTGCTTGACCGGATTATTGATGTACTGATGATATTTTTTCATTATTTATTTTGAATTATTTATTTAAAATAAAATAAATATTTTTCATTAAAATAATTCAGTTATAAAAAAAAGAAGAAATGAGAAATTTTCACGTTATTCTTGTATACAAGAAAGAATATTCAAGGATTTTTTTGTTAGAAGCAGAAAATAAAGTTTGTTTTATTTTGCCTCAACTTTAAAAACTTGGTGTAATTATTCTAACAGTTGGATCATCTATTTTTTGGTAGCTCTTGGTGTTATTGAAATGGAAGCTGATTCCGTTCCAAAATGCTTTCTTTGTAAGGAGGGTGTTGTGGATGACGGTGTAAATGTTACTCGTGGAACTTTTATAGGGTATATTTACAAGTACAGAATTGGCTGAGAAATGAACTGTCACCAGAGGAATGGGGCTGAAATCGTGCAGGGGAAATGCTATTACCGGTCCAAACCACACATGATCCGGCCCCACCGGAACTCATGCGGATGATTTTTTGTCAGTGTAAGAGAGGATGCGAGAAGAATTGTTCATGTTTGAAAGCAGGTCTGAAATGCTCGTCCATCTGTGGTTCGTGTCAGTTGACATAATGTTCAAATTATTAAAGAAATGAAGGTATATTCCCGGAAGAATTAGAGGTGGAAGTAGCAATAGAGGTGGAAGAAGAGACAGAAGGGTTGCAAAGCGAGGAGACAGAAATACAGCTGGAGAAAGAGAGAGAAAGGACGACAGGGGGAAGGGTAGAAAAGGAGCAAGAGGGAGTAGGCGTAGAGAATACCGTTGACGATGAAGAATATGTATACGATTCTGATGAGTGGTTGACCACACCCTAAAGGTTGTTATGTATGTTTTATATCCAACCAATTCTTCCAAATAAATATAATTTTTCAAAGATTTTTTTACCGAAATCCTGCACCCATATTATTCCGAAAAAAGTTTGCAAAAAAATCGCAAAAATGCGAAAAATGTTTATAATGGTTGTATGGTGAATATTCACCACGCTCTATAACTTGTCATTTGCTTTTAGCCAAAACAACGAGATTCAAGACCTTGGCACAAGGAAAAATAAATATTTGCAATTTTCTAGTAAATTTGCAACTCAAATTGCACAGATCATTCGCTAATACAATTAAGAGAGCCCAAACGCTACTTTGCAGAAAAAAATCTGGTAAAATCCGGCAGTAATTGTCGAATAATCGATTATTTCCGAGATTTTCTTTTACGTAATTTAGCTAGAAGAGTGCTGGCGCCATCTGCAATTGATCTCTAAAGTCCAAAAGATGAAGATCAATGCATTTCCAAAATCCTCGAGCGGAAATTCGGCAAGAAACTACCATATCTATTCAATATGAAAATTATGGATTTTTCGAAGTCTGATTTTGCAAAAACTATTGGCATTGCGAAAAAATTGGTAGGGTTCATTTTTGTAGAGAATAAGCAATTGGCATATTTAGCCAGATATTAGCGGGAAACCCGTTTTTTAAAGTTTAGGGGTCCATTTTCAGCCCCTTCCAGTACCAAGAACCCGTTAAGGATTTTCTCATTTAAAAACACCTGCGATGACCTACAAATTGAGATACGTGGGAACACATCAATCATTTTTTTACAGCATTCAAACTTTTCAGTTCTTCATTTACTGGACTAAAGTAAAAAAAATAGATTATAATATTTAATTATTAGTAGTTAATTTCTTGTATTTATTAAAGTCACAATAATAACTACAAAAATGTTAATTTATATTAGACTGTACTCTTTTTATTAAACTGTGCAAAAAAGCTATGTTTATACTGAACCCGTCTCGAGGATAGATAACGTCGAGCATCCAATATGGCGACCATCGTTTACGTGACCGAGCATGAGTAAACGATAAAGAGAAAGAGTATGCGCATTAGCGAAGCCAAAAGGCTTTAATGTATATCTTTACTATTACTGGTCCGATTCAAACGGAAAAAACGGCACTGTGAGTAAGACAGTATGCATTAATGATGAAGAAAAATCATATGCAGTGGCAAATCCAAAAGGACATTAGTTATTATCTCCATTTTTATTGGTCTACATCGAATAAGGGCATGGCGACATTCCGTTGAAGAAAAAAAATCATGCGCAGAGAAATGCCTAAAGAGCATTAGTTATAATCTTCGCCTTATTGGTCTGAATCAAATGAAACAAATAGCACTATAAATATCGTATAGATTAACGTTGACAAATGCGCGGGAGAATGGTACGAATGGATGAAAGCCAGAGTGCCAAAAAGGCTTAAGCTTTGCTGGAAGATAAAAAAGTGAACGACAAAGTCAAAAAACCCTTTGCTATTATTGTAACGATTCAAATCGTACAGAAGACATCGAACTGTCATTTTCAGGTTAATATGTGATTATTAGATAGATTAATGCTTGTAGTGGGGATACAGTACCAATGTAATACTGAAATTGTAACAGACAGGCAGCCAAAGAAGAAGAGAAGACGTTAAAGAAGCTTCTGGAGAATCTAAGATAAAGAAATGCCAATGCGGTGATATGAACGGGGTGTCAGTAGCCAAAAGGGCTATAGTAACAAATGACAATTAGTCATTTGTCTTTGTTCATTAATTACCTAACCCAACTTACCAACTATAGATGGAAAGCTGTTTTCGTTCATTGACGTATCGTCATCGTACGTCATTGTCATACTCTTCGTTAATTAGTGATAATGTGATAAAGTAATAATGTGAACCTATCAACTACAGAGTGAAGGCTGCCAGAATAAACATAAGCCATTCTTTATGTTAATTTACAAAAGATTTAGCTCACAATGCCAGCAATTTTGGTTTTATTGGTTTCTTTGGCTTTGCCAGGTTATAAAGTACTGGTAGTATAATACGGCATGTTGTAAGAGTGCTAGTACTATAAAACTTCTACACTTCTATAGACAGGTCCTATGACTGTTTCCCAGCGCCACTTTACGACTATTGGGGTTATGATGGACAAGTAATGTTATTTTGAACAGACACGTTATTTGTGAACAGGTTGTTATTTCTGTGTGTTTATGAAATAACAGACCTGTTAAAAATAACACAGGTTGTCAATCATAATTATCACTCTTAATTAAATACGAACGTAAATGGTAGGAGTGAAGAATCCTACCTCTGCATTATTTAAACAATTATTTTAAAACAACCGTGTGATTTGAACCACAGACCCTTGGACTTGCAAATCTACGCTGTAATCACTGAGCAACCCACACTCCAGAAACTTTATTCTAAATTCTCTAGATTATTTGGTACACGTTACGAGACATTAAAGAGAAAATGTCCAATCAAAGCGAGTAAACAATCTAGGAAAATATACTTTGTTGATTTTGGTGTAAGAATGGTATATTATCGCACGTAAAATCGTTAAAGAATAAAGCTTGTTGGAAATCCCCAATACAGTATTCCCAACAGAAATTAAAATAAGATAACAATAAAGAGCTTTATTTGGTATACAAGTTTAACAACTAAATATCTTACTTAAAATAAATATAGCTTTACAATCATAATTCGCAAGTCTAGTAAAAATAAATTGTTAATCTATACAAGGTAATAACCAAAAAGCATGCTAGGTAAATTTATATATGTAAAGCAATATTAAGCCAAGGTTTAGTTTTTAACATGAATAGCTGGTTAATTACTTTGCTATATGTGCTCAATTTATAGGATGTGGCTAACTAACTTTAATAACTTAAAAAAAAAGAAGTTGGGCACCACTATAGTTGAAGCTTGTACAATTAGCTATACATTAGTGTTAAAAATATAGAAAATTACTAAAAAATTATACTTAAAACATGCTTTAGATAAGGTAGGTATCAAATTCTAATTCACATAATGGAAAAATCTTATTTCATATATTTAAATAAAGTAAAGCATAGTATCTTATTCCAAAAAATAACATATAATTTTATGTGAAAGCTAACATAATGACCCATGTTAGCTAACATGGGTCATTCATTGCTGTAGATGTTATGTATAAAATTTGACAATTTGCTCGAGAAATCATCGAACAAAAATATATATATTGAATAACATATTATTAACAAAATGTACCTTATAAAATCAGACGGTCATAACCATAAATAAATATAATTTAATACTTCGGATGATCGAGATTAATCAAAATATAAGTGACCAATTCTTCGCTGTGTGTCAAAATAAATATGTCACTTTCTCTGATACAAAGCATAGACGACAAATGACATTTCAGTAAGAAGTGATTGTATCTTAATAACGGTTTCAACCGTTACAAGTTGAGTTTTTAATATCTAAAATCTTCAAGTTTCGTTTGAGTATATTTATGTAATGAATCCCGTTTTTAAACTTTTGTAGATCTAGATTTTGTTATTGCCTAAGCAAAAATATATTTCTTACTGTAGAGACGATCTAAAGAGACGCTCGGTTCCAAATATTATTCAGTTTACTTGCTACAATAACAAAAGCTTAAGAACAACATTTTTGTTTGTAATTTAACAAATATTTTTGAAATCTATTTTGAAAATTCCAGTATTCGACGGGTATTACGTTTTTAAAACTTAAAAAATGATTTTTCTCTTTTTTTTATAATGTGCAAGCCACTACATAATATAAATCAATATTTAATTATGAAGAACATAATATATATATATTGCTAAAATATTTTGACGTTACATTAGTGACCATTACTCCTTTAGAAAAATAATTTTTTATTTTTGTTTCCATTCATAATAAACAATAATTTTAAAATATTGCCCTTCGCCCAACCGCTGCTTAGCTAATAATAATCCTAATCCAATCCGATTATGCTCATGCTTGTTTTTATATAAAAATAAGTTTAAATTTTCATATAGCGTTAAATGAGTTTTCAGACCTTTTCAAAACATATTGTACCTTTGGATCGAGTTTTTATCTTCCATTTTTTCGAAACTTTTCCTTTTTTTTTCTCTCTCGAATAAAAAAGCAGATACCAAAATTGACCACTTCGTTGTTTAAAAGTTAATCGTAGTTGCCGTAATTGGTTACTGAGTTACCAACTTTTATTTCTGCTTCCTATATAGAGTTAGAGTATCAAGTTACCGAAACACTTTAGAAAACTTTAGATTAGATTAAAACTAAGTAAAAAATAACTAGGTTCAGAGTGAAGCCTTTAGGCCATGCATGGTAGACTGGTTTTACATATACTGTTAGGGAGATCATCGTTTCTCATAAATGTTGAAAAATGATTAAAGTATTCGTTATAATCATATATTATTTATCTATGTTGAGGTAAAGTTTATTATTATTCTCTTTAAAATAGTAAGAAAGAATATAAATTTCCAAACTTGGGGTAGCTATGTGAGAGTTAATGTCTTAAAGGTTGGAAACAAGAAAAAAACAAGTCCTTTATATCTCACAAAGAAATTTTTATTTGAACGGCGACCGGTTTAGAAGTTTTTTCACTTCATCATCAGGCACATCTATTGGGTAAGAGAAAATGGATAATTGATGAGTTTAAGTTGTTTAAAATAATGGAATATTAACCTAGTTTAAGTGAAATTAACAAAATCTACTAATAGGTCATGATCCCAACAGATGTTTTGAGTAAAGTAATTCCAATTATACGAGTAGTTGTCAATGTATATTTACTAAAATACGTCCATTATTAAATAGGCGGGATTAGTTGTAGTTTAGCCATTGCTTTGTAGCTTAAATTGATTGCTTGTTTGCTTGTCCGAATATAGGTAACTCTTTCTGCATACCGATGGAGAAATGCAATCATCGAGTGTCTGCCTCCTCGTGGCACCGCTGGATACATTAATATTGATGATCCATGAACAGCACTATTAACTAACTAAATGGCACGCCATCAATAACTCAAGCCAAGGTGTAAGGCACCGTGCTGAAGGCTGAATGGCTGCTGGGAAAGTGGTTTCGAACGTTCCTCTGGGGGCACCTAGCGAAACCCTTTTGTATCCAGCCTTGCCGGCGTATGCGGAGCTCTGAATCGGTCGACTGTTTTTCCCTAGCTGTTCGTAGGATTTACATGGGCAAGAAATCTAAAGAAAATAAAAACTAGCACCACTAATCAAACGAAGCCTGTCATCCGAAGCGATCAACCTCTTAACTGAGACAACTTTACAAAAGAGAAGTGGGAGAACAACAGAAGGATGTGAAGGGAGAAGATGAGCACAATTGCTCCATCTTCTCCATCCCCCTTTCACCACTCATCAGCGAGGGAAGATTCCCTCAAAAAAGAATTTAAATGGAAACTACTTCCCTACTTCTAGAGGGACAACTTGGTGGAAGGAACGACCCACTGAGGCATGGACACAGTGGGGGCAGGGGTTAGGTGGTATCTTCGCTACCCTGATCAGGACATGACACCAGAAGAAGCAAAAAATAAAGCTGTGGAGTACAAATCTTAGGGAGAGGGAAGTAAAACTAAAAAAAATTAGGTACGTAATGTTCTGGAAGTAATGGATAGTCTTTAAATTTATCATGTAGTTCTTTGAGAACTTCTAAATTTAAAATAAATGTATATCCATATGTATCATTATCTTTTAAGTTTAAAATCTTTTCTAAAGTATAGTCGCTAGGTTTCATTTTTAAACTTTTGATTTCTGGATCAGTTTTTATTTCATCTTCTCTCTCATTATATCTAACAAATTTTATTGGTTGTGAGAACGCATTTCCATATAAATTATTTGTGTCTAAACACATAATATAACTAATATGTTTTTTACTATTATATATTTCTTTTTCCTCAGCTTTTTCTTTTCTTAGTTTAATTGTTTTACCTTGTTTTTCGTCATAGAAATAGCAATTATTTGCTACATCATGTCTATTTGGAATCATTAATGTTCCACCTCTGATTCCACGTTCATATTTTTCGTATAATTTTTGATCTGTTATTAATTATAATGTTTAACCTGTTTTTTTTTAATGATGCTGCATCTGCTAAATTTGAAGATAAAATATAGTAAACAGGATCTAATTTATAATTCTTATAACATGTTTCTCTAAAGTTGTCGAACACATCTTTTAATAAAACCATCTAACTTTAAATATGATAATCACCAAAATTTTTACATTCAAAATGATTATAAACTTCTTTAGTAAAGTTAAGGTCTGCATTCTTTATGAGGTTATCATTTAAAGTTGAATACCAGTCTCGTTCATCATAGAATTTTTGATAATTATCAACCCACTCGTATGAATAAACACCTTTTCTTAAAACCATATGGAGGTCCTCCTTATTAAATTCTGTCATAATATTTTTGAATTTAGTGTATTCAACAGGTTTGCTTACTTTACTATCACATTTTTTACAGTTAGCGATTAATTTTAAAACATTATTTTCATTAATGGGTAGAAATTTAGCATTTATTATTTCTTGTTTAGAATTACATTTAACATAATAACAATTATTGACATCAGTTAACTTGTTCACTGCTTTGTCAAGACTTGTACTAAATGTGTCTATAAATTTAAATTCCACTCTTACATTTTGAATTTCCCCTTTCCGTTTGAGAACCATTTTATTTCCACATGTACCACATTTTTCGATAATTTTGTTGTATATTGGTTTTTTATTGCATTTATTACATCGATAATAATCATAGGGTTGTTCATATTTATCAAAAATTACTTTCTTTGAGAACGTGATGTAGTTTTCTTTGGAGTTTGGAATTATATTAATGTCTGAATAGTTTTCACTTAATTCAAGAATCCATCTTAAAAATATCATTGAATCATATCTAAGGTTGTGAATTTCAATTGATATAAATTTTGGTAATGGTAAATTTAAATTACAAGCTGCTCCTCTGTATTCTCTTGTAATATGGTTATGATCTCTGACTTTTTGATCATCATCATTCTCGAAAACTTTATTACAAATGTGACACTTTTTTGCGTTCTCATATTCTATGTATACATCATCATTCCAAATCATAGTCTTATTTTGTTTTCTAATTTGAATATATCGTTTTCCATAATAAATAAGTTGCTTATTAAATTCTTTTATTAGTGTTTCTTTATTACTACTTTTAATTACATTTGTTCCATTAACTGTAAAAAAACAAAAACTGTTTGGAATATGTTCATGAATTAAGAGTTATTGTATAGGGATGAAACTGTTCTGCACCACTAGATATATATTTTTGTTGATTATTTTTTTCTTAGGCATTTCTACTATAGTCTTTTGATGAATACAAATTTGGATATGCTTATCAAATTTTTCTTTCATATGGAATGTTGCGTGACATTTGTTACACATATATATTAGATGCTGTCTTTTACGAATTTGTCCACTTAATAGAGTGTTGAATTTCTTAATTTCACACTATACGATTTTCATATAATAGTCAATTAACATGTTTATCATATTTTTGATTTCTGCTTAAGTATAAAAGGTTAAAAATAGGTTTCTCAAATTTATAAATATTAATAGATATGTTTAGAATGTCTTCATATTTTTGTATATTGTTTAGAATTAACTCAACTAGATAAGACATATTTAAACACTCATATCTTTCAATGTTATAGCAAGATGCACGATCAGAGTTTTTAACAGAGTTCAGTATACTTTTCAATGCATATTCAAAACATCTTATATTTTCTTGCTTTAAACACTTGAATATCCTTGTCTTTATATTTTTAACGTTGATGCAACAATGCTTATGAAAAATAAAGCTTGGTAATTGAACATAGGTTCCACCTCGTAATGGATTGTATTTATCAGATTGAAAATCTAGTCGAATAATTATATAAACCTATATTTTGTATTCTTTGATGTATAATTTTCAAATTTTCTTACACATTTTTTTTTGTTAATTTTAAGATACCACCTATAATGTTCTCGTTAATAGATGTGATTTGATGAAAATCAGAGTGAAAATAGTGATTAGAAATGCCTATTCTATTAACTGGTAAATCTAATTCTTGATATTGAGCAACAAAAACTAACTAAATTGTTACAGCTTTCTTGTGGTTCAAGCTCTTTTTTGATAGTTTCACATATTTTGTCCTGAATGTTGTATACAAATTGTAATAAATCATGCTCATCAGAACTACAATAAACAGAATAGTTAACAAGCATATTATTCTACGCACCTTTTGTTCTTATTACTCGAACATCTTCATCATCGTTTTATATGTATGGTAACTCTTTTAAATCTTTTGATTTGTGCACTTTTTCTTGTCTGATTCTTTATCCTTTAAAATCATAATCATTTTATGTTATGAAATTGTTAGCTTTTTCTATATTACGATTTATTTCTGGATTTTTATTATCCACATGAAGTTGTTATTGATTTTCATTATCTACATCAAGCTTTTTTTTTTTTTACACCCGTTAGACCTTCCGTGCTACACCCTAACCCGTCTGTACTCTGGCAGCCTGCAGCTTATTGTACCACCATTTGAAGGTCCTACTACTTTCCCATTCACACCCTCATTCATTCCATCGTCGATGGTTAAACGCTAGTCGGATGAATCCCATGGTGACATGGCCCATGGTGGAACCTCTTAGCGGTCACGCTTTCACGACGTGACCGGAGAGATCACTGTTTAACTGTTTCGAGTAAATTTATGCACACCAAGCTCGCTGCTAGCCTCTCCGGCCACATGAAGTCTTTCTTGACTTTTATTATATTCAATTATTCTATCTCTTATTAAATCGTATAATAAGTTTTTTAGCTATTTAGAATATCCTTTTTTTTTGAGACAATGTTGATCTCTATATTTTCTAGCAGTATTTGAACAGTATTTTGGAATCTTGGTATTATTAGTTGAGACATAACTATTTAGAAGGGAAAAAATTAATAAAAAAAAAACATGTTTTTGAAAAATAAAAAAATTATGAATGAAATCTATAAAACTTAGTTAGATTCTTAAACATAAACGTATATTAATAAAAAAAAATATTATTCGGATTCTTGTGCTAAGTTAGTTTTACAGATTCGTATGGGCGATTTAGTTTTTTGAATAGCGATTACATTTTGCTTTGTATTTATAAGAGAAAAAATTAAAGGAAGTAAATGTATATAAATAAAAAAAAAATATTATTTAGATTCTTACGCTTTTATATACTAAAACTGTAAGTGCTCGATTTGAGATCCAACTTGAGACAGGAGCGGCACTTTACATACTACTCACATTGCGTATCGGCTGACTTTTGTTACTTAGAATCATTAATTCAATTTACTTTCTAATTAAATAATGGCTACTATTTCGTTCAGGGTTTAACATATTAAAGTATTATATGTATCTTAATTAAGTTTTAGTTTTGTTTAATTTCTCAATCAAAGTTCCTTTTGATAGTCTTCGTATTAAATCCACGTATCCATTTCCAATTTAAATTTCAGAGCTAGAGTTAGAAATTGTATCAAAAATAAATAAGAACCGGTATTAAACTTGGTTTACTGAGATACATGTATGTTTCCCATTTAACTTTTATGAAAAATAAATCATAAATCGATGATAATATAAATAAAAAAGCCAACCAATCATTTTACCAAATAATTGTAAATTTATTATAGATTTTGTTTTAAAAAGAAATTCGAAGTAAATATTACAGGAAGAAATTTAGTTTTACCTGCCCTAATCTGTCTGGAAAGAAAATGAAAAATATACTTGGAAACAAACGAAAGCAAATCAATAAATTTGTTTAATTTAAAGGTGTATTGAATGACCTATCTGTAGTTTATTAATTATTACTCAACGTTTTGCTGGTTTATAATTTCAGCAGGAAAATAATTTATTTAGAAATTAATTTCTAAATATTTTAAAGATAATTCCAGAATACCGTGTTTCATAAACGTTACAACAACGGTTTACTGTATACTCCAATAAAATAGGTCTGTAATTTATTGATAGAATGTAGAATTATTTTACAAAACAAAATATAATTAAATCTACCGTATTCAAACTACAATGAGGAATTTCCAAAAATATGCAGATAATGACCTACATTACTACGATTACTCTGAGAATGTGGAATAATTGACTACTTCGTGATAATTAACCTTACAATTAATTCTGGAGAACTGCAGATAAATAATATAAATTTCCGAATTGTGCAAGTAAGTTCTAATTAATAATGACATTAAACAACACTTTTGCAAGTGTAGCATACTTTGAAAAATTTGTAAGATTTCAAAAGATTTAGTTTTTAACATTATTAAGACAAGCTATAGTCTATGGGGGCGGTTTCTTCATTGGTTCATTTATGCAGTGAACACCCAGTTACAGTTCTTAAAAACATATTATTTTAAAATAAATAACATAAAAATATTATTTTAAGTTTAATAATTTTATTGTTTTCATAAGTGTTCTTAAAAACGTTCTTGAAAATCTTAAGATCAAAAGAAATGTCACATGATAATAGATACCTGAAACGTAGTGAAACAATCATAAAATAACTTAAATCAGCCTAATTTGCGCAACGCACAGCGTGACGTCACAAAGTAGGGCGGTGCATACCAATATTTCAAATCATAGATATAGAGAAGCAATGACGGTACTAGACATATCTGCACTTTTGCTTTACTCTTTTAAGACATATGTAAAACTCGAGCTAGTCAGTTTTGGTGGTAATAAATGCTATTTTTTTAAAATAGGGTGATTTAAATGATATAAAAACATTTTCTCTTGGTCAATCTACAAATATAAAATTAATAACTTAAAATTATTCAAAATATGACGCAAAGTGCCTCCACTATCATAAAATAGTCTTTATTTCGTCTCTACCTACTTTATATTCTATCCTCTCAACGTTCCAATCAAGCTGTCAAATTCTAAAAATAAATATGAGACAATTTTAATTGCGAATTGTTTTAAAAATTAAGTTTAAATAAAACTGCGACTTTAATAAATAGGAAGTATGTGTGTCAGTTCAACGATTGTTACTGAAAAACGTTACAGGTAAAAAAATACTATTATGTTTAAGGTTATGTTTATTTTCAAATTACAGTTGTAATAATTTTGTTTTTTGTTCCACAGTCTACAGACTATACCCAAGAATATATGCGTTAAGCATATTTATTTTGTAGGTTGTCCCTTCAAATTATAGAAAAATACCCCATCTATAAATGCCAGAGTTACTGATAAACAGTGTTAGACTGATATAGCACTGAGGATTTTATAAACTTACATTACATTTTTTGCGACGATATAAAATACACACAGTACAACAGCGTGTTCTACCCCGAATTTTTGTCTGGGTGTATTAAAGTTTTAAATTTCCCCTCGTTTGGCCACCAGTGACCTCAAGCGCGCCATTTATTTCAAAAAGATATTCCAATTTCTATGGCACGATGATTCACAAGCATTAACCGGGATACAAAACGAGCCAAAGCCGAGTTTCATATGGTTTATGCAAGTGTATTAATAACCATTACATGATAGTTGCATACGCTATTTTTTCTACACCGATAAATAATCAAGAACTATAAATATTATATTTATATTTGTATTGAACACAATAACAGTATTTACTCGTTTTTCTATAAAAAAAATCTACAAAATTGTAATTAATGGTATAACCTCGGGTATTGGTATTACCATAAATTTTTGGATAAAAATATTTTGTACTGCATTTCTGCTTTCTCCGATATGTGTGGAGGAGTCGATGGTAAGTCTTCTATATCGCTGATATCAGACATTTGGATAATATAATTATCGAAGTTTAGCTATCTTTGAAAATTTAATTCGTACTGATTTTTATAACTAAAAAAATTACATAGGAACCTAGGACAAACATCAAATGCACAGCATGCTTAATTAAAAAATTAGGGGTTTCTATTGATTAAAAATCATAATAAGTATCATTATGAAACGGATTATGGGCATATAAGTGCATTATTTTAATAGGAGTGTAAAAAAAAATATTTAACTTTTTCGGACTTGGAAATTTTCTAATGGATCATTCAATAATAATAATAATAATAATAA